TGTACTAAGAAGTTGTAGCATGGACTCCGAGTGAGTGAATCTTTCCTTGCTCATCATATGTTTCATGATTGATAATTCTATAAATGCTTTTAAATAAACTAAGAAATTTATGCCATGACATATATATATTTATATGTTATAAAATACTATTAGATGGTTGAGTTAGATTTCATCGTGATCTATCCATATGCGTATCACTATAAATGATTATTGTGAACTACGAATGACTTGATCCCTGCTTAGGGTACGTAGGTAGTCTAACGAGACGTTAGATGCAGCCATATAAGAAATGAGATTAAATAATCATGACCATAGCCTTGTTTAAAGTTTTGAGCAATGTGTGTGTGCTTTTGGTTTTAGGTATATATGTATACACTTGATGTTTTTCCCAGAAAATGCAATTAAATGATTTATGCTTTAAAAATGTTTTCCCAGAAAATGCTTGATATATACGATTATATATATATATATAATCGTGGTGTTTTGAACGCTCTGAAGTGTAAAGGTGAACACATGACTCACATGTAAGTTCAGGTAAGTTTAGGTAAATTCAAGTAACCATACGATAGTAGTTGGATTGATGAGATATGTGATAAGATATGAATATGTCGAATAGGTCACTAGAGGTGACTCCGACTTATATGCTAGCCATGATTGATGAGATATGTGATAAGATATGAATATGTCGAATATGTCACTAGAGGTGACTCCGACTTATATGCTAGCTATGATTGATGAGATATGTGATAAGATATGAATATGTCGAATGGGTCACTAGAGGTGACTCCGACTTATATGCTAAACATGATTGATGAGATATGTGATGAGATATGAATATGTCGAATAGGTCACTAAAGATGACTCCGACTTATATGCTAGTCATGATTGATGAGATGTGTGATGAGATATGAATATGTCATATAGGTCACTAGAGGTGACTCCGACTTTTATGCTAGCTATGATCGATGAGATATGTGATGAGATATGAATATGTCGTATAAGTCATTAGAGGTGACTCCAACTTATATGCTAGCCATGATCTAGCATGATCGATGAGATATGTGATGAGATATGAATATGTCGTATAGGTCACTAGAGGTGACTCCAACTTACTTGCTAGCCATGATTGATGAGATATGTGAGGAGATATGAATATGTCATATAGGTCACTAGAGGTGACTCTGACTTGTGTACTATTATGAGTTATTAATCGCATGATTATTTGATATTATTGATTAGATGCTGTGTTGTGGTACATTATGATTTCTCTGGAAATTATACAGGTGTTCTAACGAGGGATTACATGTGTTATATGTTTTCTATTAGTATTTTACTTACATGGCCACTCAACCTTGTCTTGTCTTCACCATCCAGGTATTATTAGCTGAGTTTTAATATCACCAAAAACTCGCGACGATTCTTAGGATCGGAGACTATTTCAAGGGTACGATTCTTATATCATTTTTCTGTACTTGCTTATGGTCTAATATCACATGTGAAGTGGGTTCATTTCTGCTCACCAGTGCACTCTGGTATTTAGGCACTATTAGGTTTAAATTTATTCACAATTTTCCACATCATCACACTTTATGACTTCGTTACCTTCCAGGTGTCGGCCAGCACAGCTTGATTTGGAGTCCTAGTGGACATTCCGGGTCGGGGTGTGTCATAATAACATCATTAATTATTTGAATAATAAAATATTTTTTATTTTTAAATATATTCCTTTAGTGTTAAAAATGTTACAATTAGTGTATTTATATTTATGGCTAAATTGTTTTTATCATATATATTTTTTTTAGTTTGTACCTATTTTTAATTTGCAAATATTTTTTAATTTGTACCAATTTTCTTTTCATTTTTAATTTGTACCCATTTATTAGTTTCTTTTTGTGCCCATATTTTTTAAAGTTTTATTTGTGTTTGTATCCATATGTATTCCGTCATGTGATATTGTATATTTAATCAATGATAGAAAAATTACATATGGTATACTTATGTTTTATGCCTAAACTTTGTATCATATATTTATATTTTTAGTTTGTACCCACTTTTAATTTGCAACATTTTTTTTTTAAATTTGTAGTATTTTCTTTTTAGTTTTATTTTGTACCCATGTATTAATTTCTTTTAGCGCCTATATTTTTTAAAAATTCAGTTGTACTCATAATTTTTAATCTTTTATCTGTACCCTAATTTATTTATAATGTACCCATTCTTCTTTATTAATGTACCACTTTGTTATATGTGAAATGTACCAATTTTTTTAACACTATGGATACATTCTTTTGCCATTTATTATTTCTTATTTTTACATAGTTTTTATCCATTTATTCAATCAAAATGTTTCAATTTTTTTTATTGTAACAGTTTCTAATAGTATTATAATGAGGGATTTTAAATTTATAGGATTATAAATATCATAAAATATCAAACAAATAATGTCAAAACTATAAAAATAAATATATTAATAGTAATATAATGAGGTGTACAAAGTCAATGGACCTTGATCAAACTTTGAATACTATTAAGGTTTTAATCAAAGAATGTTAAGGATTAGAGACCGCATTCAAAGTATCTCTATATGTGTGTGTGTGTTTTAACATGTGTTCGTCGTGTGTGTGTGTATGTATGTATGTATGTATGTATATATGGGTTACACAAATGCTCAGACATACCACTCAAGCCTAAGCATTAGGAAATGTTAGTTCCTCCTTGGTGATAGAATTTGGCACCTTTCAGCACACGATGGAGGTATATTGTAAATAACAAAGTTGAGATTTTTTTTTTTTTTAACAAACGATATTATCTACACCAAGGGGATAGGGAAGTGGCCTAAAATTCAAACTCAAAGTGAGAAAAAGTTTGTCCTCTTTAGTTGGTGAAAGAGTTTATCTTCTTTCGGTCTGCAATGGATGTACATTCCATGGGCAAGTCCCGTTCTTACAACTTAATTTCCATGTAATTTTGTTTTTTCGATTTAATTGGGTTAGCAAAATTTGGAATTTCTGTGTTGATTTTGGTGTTTATGTCAATCTGGGTTTGAAATTTGAGTTCTTGGCAATCGGAATTTTAGCAAATTTTGTAGAATCTGTTGAATTGAATCTTGAGCTAAATTTATTAATAATTAAATGAAATCCCAACATAATTTTGATTTGGGAAATCAGAATTTTGCTAGAAGTTGTGGATTCAGTCACAAATTTGTAATTTGGCTCCTTTTTTCATATGATTCTACTGTGTTTGCAGCTTTGTTTTGATTTTCTTGGATTGCCCTTTTGATTGTTTGGTAGGCAAGACTATGATGCCGAAGACGGCGAATGAAGTGAAACTGATGAGTTTTGGCAAGATTTTGGAGAACAAGAAGACAGTGGGTCAGTGTAAATTACCTTTGGTTGGTATTGGTGGGGGAATTGTCATGATGCGTGTCGTTGGACAGCCAGCTATGGAAAAAGCTAAAACAGGTAATGTTTCCGTTAGGAACTTAATCTCGGTTTTTGTATAAGAATGTGCTGGGGTTGGGTGGCCAAAGGCAGAACATATTAAATTTGGCCCTTAGTGTGCTTAAACTGGCAGGGATGATCAGAATTGATGTTTTTAGTTCTTAAAACGTGCTATTTATACTGTAAACTACACCAAGGGGAAGGGGGATGGTTAGAACTTTGATCCTGGATGCAGCGAGGCTAAGAGAAATACCCTCCCCACCTGGCCAATCAACCACTTGCAGAATTGTTGTTAAAATACCTCTGCAAAAAATATGAACTTTACTTCCTGCACTTTATTTTTACTGTGATGTGGAAATAGATTTTACAATGGCTTATTTGTGATAATTGATAAAGAGGTTTGTGTTTAAGACGAGAGTAGTGCGGCCTCTTTCTTGATTGAATGCAGGGAAAATTCAGTAGAAATCAATTGAAACGAACTACAATTTGATGATTGTATGCAGGGAAAATGCAGTGGAGAGCCTTTTCTAGCTCTCGAATCCAGCGAATCGCGCTGCACCACTAGTCCATCCACACCACCAACGTTCCTCCGCTTTACTAAAGGTAAGCGATCCATCCTACTCTAAATTTTAAAAATTTGGGGGGTTTTGTTTCCTTTTCAATACCAATCAGGTAATCAATCTGCATGAATGGATTTGATAGATTGAAGCCTCGTGGACCTGATTGGAGTGGCCTATGCCAGCATGGAGATTGTTTCTTTGCTCATTAGAGGCTGGTCATTATTGACCCAGCTTTGTTTCTTTGCTCATTAGAGGCTGGTCATTATTGACCCTGCTTCTGGTGATCAACCCCTCTACAGTGAAGACAAATTAATTGTTGTCTCGGTAGGGTCGCGTCATATATTTTTTAATTGTGTGGTTTAATTTATTGAATATTTGAAAAAATAGAAAAAATATCAATTTTTTATTACTGATACAATGTGTATGTTGATTGTTGATTTTGTTGGATTCACTCAACTCAAATATATGTTATCTGAATTGCTACATTGATAACTTGATTTTGCTCCTACCACCATTTTGCCCACTTTCTGTGGAAATTATTCATGCTCACAACAGATGCATTTAACCCCGCAGCGAAGCGCAGACACATTTTCTAGTATTTTCTAACGGGAGATTCATGTTCTCAATAGTGTGAAAGCTATCACCAATTTTTTACTGTGATTTGCTTTACCACTACTACGTAACCCCTTTTATTAACGAGAGAGGATTCTCATCGGATCCTCTTTGTGAGAATTCCTGAGATTCTCCAATCACATTTGTTCATCGTGTATCGTACGGCAAGAGAAAAGTCTTAATTTATGTGGAAGAGAAGAGTCTCCATTTATAGTCAATTCGAACAACTTTGTCTTCGTTTGTGGAAGAGAAAAGTCTTAATAATTTTTCGGTCTCGAGATCATTACTTGGTAATTTCCACAATGCTAGCAAGATTATTCAGTTTCTGCAACTCTTCACTTTGTCCAAATTCCGCCTCTCTCTCTCTCTCTCTCTCTCTCTCTCTCTCTCTCTCTCTCTCTCTCTCTCTCTCTCTCTCTCTCTCTCAAGAGAAGAGTCTCCATTTATAGTCAATTCAAACAACTTTGTCTTCGTTTGTGGAAGAGAAAAGTCATAATTTTTCGGTCTCGAGATCATCACTTGGTAATTTCCACAATGCTAGCAAGATTATTCAGTTTCTGCAACTCTTCACTTTGTCCAAATTCCACCTCTCTCTCTCTCTCTCTCTGTGTGTTATGTAGAAGGCGTGTAAAAGGGCATGCAAGCAACCATCCAGGGTATCGCAGCTATAAAGCCCCCGGTACTGAGTGATGGCTAAGCATAATGTAACGTTTGATGTGGAGAACTCGAAAAGGTAAGTTGTGAGCTTAGCTTCTATGTATTTCTTTTCGGGTTTTTGAACTTTAATACTTCAAGAAGATTAAAATTTAATAAAAATCTGATGTTAGATTTAATATTTATTTTAGTCTCTTAATGTGTGTACTTAATTCAAATTCATATTATATTTTTGTTTTTATATTTAATAGATAACTTATTTAATGTTATTATATTAAAATTTAACATTTTTTATTATACACATTTTAATTCATTAATTTTATTTAATTTTCTCTAATTAGTGTACCTAAACGTCTATATCATAATATATTTTACTAAATTAGTGTATCGAAATGTCCGTACCTAAATATATTGTAGTGAATTAGTGACACATAAGAAAATATGTAAATATATAAGTGTACCGAAAATTCCGTACCTAATTATATGATACTAAACTAGTGAACCGAAATGTCGGTACCTAAACATATTATACTAACCCAGTGTATCCAAATCTTCGTACCTAAATATATTGTAATGAATTAGTTGCAGATAAGAAAATATGCAAAAATATAAGTGTACCGAGAAATCTATACGAAAATATTTTCTTGGGTAAATTACATTTTACCTCCTCAGGTTTGGGATCAAAGTATTGGTGCTCGGAGCAGAAGAGTTCGCCGCACCGGCACCGGAATCAGGTCAACCCGACCTTTCTCCAGCATCCAGAGCACTGATTGACCACACACCTCTTCAATGATTCGTATGATCTCGCGATCTCCGACATCATCGTCTTCTAGAACGTCTCGGTTGGGGCCTCGAAGCTGAAGGTGTGTCGAGGGGAGGTGAAGAGGGAGGAGATGGAGAAGTGGGTTGGGGGATTTTCTGGGTTTGTTTGGTAGTTTTTTTTATTTTATAAATAGGGTAAATATTATTATATTTTAAATGCATAAAAATTATTATTTTTGCCACGTGGCACAAATGTGACAGCTACGTCAGCACAAATGTGGATCCTATATTTGCCACATCATCACTTAACGGTTTACTTAACAGATTTTCTAACGGATGTATGAAATTGAAATAAAATGATAAGTAAATGTTTGAAATTGAAATGTTTTAAAGATGTTGTAAGGAATTGAAATTGATCCCAAACCTGAGGGGGTAAATGTAATTTACCCTATTTTCCTATATAAGAAGCTTACCATAATGAGAATTAAAATTTATAATATTTTCATAAAATTTAAATTCATAAAATTATAAATAAAAAAAGAGACATTGAATACATATGCTGACATTAAATAGAGTCCAAGGACTAAAATCAATTTTGAATCTTGTATAAAACATTTGTCTAAACTTCATCTTATTCAGGATTAAAATATAGTTTTCTATTTCTTTTTTCCCTTTTTACGTAAATGTGGCATCAAATACTAGGGTCGTATCTCCAATTAAGCCTTTCATCTACCAAGTAGCAGTATTTGTCTCAACTTAGTTGAAAGAAATCTTAAATTTAGTTTACATAGAAATTATATGTATTTATAGCGTTTTTTTTTTTCCAGTACTAAACAACAGTACGAACATGAGACAAATGAAGGATATTATGGAGCACATAAAGAACTACCAATTAATCCAAAATTTCTAGATGTACGTGGGCTAACATTCCTCGTAACCTGGAAGAAGATATTTGTAATATCATGTGCGTTTGGAGTCTCGGTGGATCCTTTATTCTTCTATATTCCTTTCGTCAATAAGAATATGAAGTGCTTCGAGTTGGATAAAAAGTTGAAGACTATAGCTCTTGTATCACGATTACTTACAGATTTCATGTATGTAATTGACATTATCCTTCAAATTTGGATCGTGATTTTGGCAAAACGAAGGATATTAGTCAGTAATCCTTTGGCAATGTTGGGTAAGTGGGCTTGGAAATCATACATTATAATGGACATTTTGGCCATTCTTCCTGCACCTCAGGTACGACAACTCTGTATTACATATTGAGTCTAAATAGCCGCTCCTAACATGGTATTTCGGACTCCGTCTGAGATTTTCTTGCAACATTCATCCTTTATGATATAACATACTCACAGACTCACAAAAGGGATCACTCTGAGTACACACACACATCTATGTGAAATTTGGACTTACCAATATGTTAGTTAATTCAATTCCAGATTATGATTAGATTTGATGGTTATCAATGTTATGCCAGGTTTTAACATTTATATTGTTTCCGAAAACGAGGGGCTCAAGTTCTTTGCTTGCTAAGGAATTTATGACTACTTTTGCTCTGTTACAATATGTCCCACGGGTTTTTCGCATCTACGTAGCATGTAAAGAATTCAACAAGACTCCTACAACCGAGACTAGAATATGGATATTTTTCAAAGGTGGATTCAGTCTCTTCCTTTACATCCTTACTAGTCATGTAAGTTTCGTTCACATATATGAATCTTTTCAAAACAAAAACAGCTCAAGTCTTGTACAATCATTAACTCAAGTACTACTCATTGGTCCTTTAGGTACTTGGAGCTTTTTGGTACTTTTTAGCTATGCAACGAGAGTCAACTTGTTGGCAACTTGCTTGTCAAAGTGATCAAAATGGATGTAAACGTAGTACTTTTTATTGCAATGATCGTTTGTTCCAAAATCTCACAACCCTAAATGATTTATGCCCTATAAATCCGTCAGATGCAAAGGTTTTCGATTTTGGGATATTTCTTGATGCTCTTCAATCTGGTGTGGTGGAGTCAACAGACTTTCCCAGAAAGATTTTGCATTGTTTCTGGTGGGGCCTTCGAAATCTAAGGTTTGTACATGGAGGAATTTCCGTTATCGATGCACAAGAAGTTATTGAAGATTTTCTTACTTCTAGGCTCTGCGATCATTGAATTTAATTATACTTCAGATATTATTTCTTCTATGTGATTTTTGCATGCAGTTCTCTCGGATCAAACCTCGAGACCAGTAACTACGCAATGGAAAATCTGTTTGCCGTTTTTATTTCTTTATTTGCCTTGGTACTATTCATATTTTACCTCAGTGGAACTTTGCAGCAGGTTGGTGACCAATAACATCTTTGAACCCTAGCCCTCATTCCTGGTTTTGATATTTCAGGATTTAATGAACTGATGACCTCACTGTGTAATAGATATGGACGCATAGGGTAACTAAATCATCAGCCAAGAGGAAAGTTCTACGGCAGATGGAATTGAAAAAGTTAGAGATCCACCGCTGGTTATCTGAAAATGGCATTGGCATCCCAAAGCATTTGAAGAAGGTGATGATACAAAGGCTACAAATACATCTAGAAGGAGAAGAAAACATCGATGTTAATATGAAGAGTATCATCTCTATTGTTTCCGTGGAAGATAGAAGATTAATCAAACTATACTTAAGCTGGTCTATTCTAAAAAAAGTAAGTTAATTACTCCAATTCTCTGAATTAAGTATGTTCTGGATACATGCAATATGGAAGCATCACTTTAGTAGCCTCGTGTCGTTAACTAGTACCCTACTAATACCCTTCAATGTTTTCAAGGGGTACCGTAGAATTTCCCTTGTGTTCCTTGATAGCTATTTTGTCGTATTTATTCGCTTTATTTTTTCTTAATATATCTTACTGTAGGTGCCAATGTTTCAAACCCTGGATGAAAAAGTGCTGAAAGAAATTTCTCAAAGCCTTCAGCCAGTGATGTTTACTGAGGATACCTACATTGTTAAAGAGGGGAAACCGCTTGATAAGATGTTATTCGTCACGCAAGGCATTGTATGGAGCTACGGATCTAGTAATAATAATGGAAGCACTCGTTGTCTTAAGAAAGGTGATTTCTACGGAGAAGAACTTCTAAACTGGGTATCGGAAGTTAGCTACCTCACTACCTTACCGATCTCGACCAGGTTTGTCAAGTCCCACACATATGTTGAAGCCTTTGTTCTAAGGGCTTACGACTTGAAAACTATAGTCTCCAAAAACTGGTTGCATTTTTTCAAGTTCACTCCGCCCTCTCAGAAGCAGCATCTTGCAGCTTCTTCGCTTCAAGAAAGTTGGCGCCGCCATCTTGAAAAGAAGGCACGGGCTGTGCATCTTGCCCAGCTGAGAGAAATGGGGAATAAAAAGATAACGGATGAAGTACCTCGTCTAGGTCAGTTCAAGTAGCTCGACCAATACTTGTGTACTTAAATTGATGCATATTATTCTCAGAAATTGTAATAAACTTCATTGTTATTTGTTTACAAGAGGGAAGTCCTCTCTTATAAAGGGTCAAAAACTACACAACTAGTCCTAACAAGTGGACAAGCCAAATGATGATTATATGAGGAAAACACCGAAGAGGAAAATAAGGAGAAAAGGAAAGCAAAGCAAAGTAATGATGCGTTTAAACCATACAACGACTTTTTTAGTTTACAAACGTTGTTGGTCTGATTGGGATCCAGCTTGCATCCTGGGGGAAGCTCCATATAAACTTCTTCTTCTAAATCTCCACGCAAGAAAGCATTTTTGACATCGAATTGTTGCAAAGGCCAGTCAAGGTTTGCTGTTAGGGATAAGAGTACAGGAATAGTGCTTATCTTAGCTACAAAGGCAAAAGTTTCTCCGTAGTCAATGTCATATGTCTGCGTGTAGCCTTTTGCCACTAATCTTGCTTTGTATCGCTCAATAATGTCATCTGCATTAAATTTTACTGTGTATATCCACATGCAACCAACTGATTTCTTCCCCTTAGGTAGGTTAGTTAACTCCCAAGTGGAATTTTTCTGAAGTGCCTCCATTTCTTCATTCAATGCACGAGTCCACCTAGGATCTTTCATAGCATCCTCTACACTACAAGGAATAGATACAGTGGATAATTGATTTACAAATGCCTCACATGATGTAGATAGCCTATGGAGGGACACATGGTTAGCAATTGGGTATTTAACCTTGGCTCTAGGATCAGGATCATATAACTGTTTAGGAATCCTTCGAGATTTTCGAGGGGGAAGTTGATAATTAGTGGACTCAATTTGACTTGACTCAGGTACGATCTCAATAGAATTAGATTGATCAGTTACTTGTTGATTGTGTTCAGGGGCTGATTGATCATATGGTACTGTCGAAGAAGGCAATCCCAATCCATCTGAACTTAACATTGCTGGATGTACTTATGTGTCTGATGTTGGAGTCAATGATTCTATTTCTGCATGTATTGTTTGATTACAGTCGTCTGCCGACTTATCAACATTTATCTCAGTTTTCAAAATTTATGCAACAATTTTAATGTTGCTAATGTCTTGGGTATCCTCTTCAAACATATTATTCTCCTCCTGAAGGGGATACTCAATGTCTCATTTTGAAAAATATGTTTCTCCTTCTTGAAACTGGACATCTGCAGTGATGTATAGAGTTTGGGTAGGAGGATGAAAACATTTGTATCCCTTTTTTGTATCAAAATAACCCAAGAATACACACCGGAGGGCACATGGATCAAACTTCCCCCGTTGATGTGGATAAACCTATACATAAGCCACGCACCCAAAGACTCGTGGTTCTAAGTTTGGGATAGATGGAATGGTGATAAGGTGGTTAAGTGTTTGGAATGGTGTTTGATATTGGAGAGTACTGGATGGTGTTCGATTTATGAGATATGTTGCAGAACACAGTGCCTCCCCCCAAAACTTATGATGCATGTTGACACCATATAAAGATGCATAAACCACTTCTAAGAGATGTCGATTCTTCCTCTCTGCTACACCGTTTTGTTGTGGTGTATAGGCACATGTGGTTTGATGAACAATACCATGCTCTTGCAAATAGTTATGCAAAGCATGATTGACATATTCTCCTCCATTATCAAACCTGAGTGTCTGAATTTTCTTGTCAAACTGAGTTGCAACATATTGATGAAAAATATTGAACTTGGTAGGAACTTCACTCTTGTGCTTCATTGGAAACACCCAGGTTATTCTAGTACAGTCATCTATAAATGTCACAAACCATCTAAATCCATAAGTGGTAAGAATTATGGCAGGACCCCAAACATCAAAATGAACGACCATGAATGGCACATAACTTTTATTTAATCTTAATGGATATGAAACACGATGACTTTTGGCCAAAATACAAATTTCACAATGGAAATCGGATTCTTTAAATTGGGGAAAAAGCTCAGGGAATAAAAGTTTAAGATAACCAAATGATGGTTGTCCTAATCGCCTGTGCCATAACCAAATCTTCTTCATTCGGGTTGATTCATCTTTGCTTACATGATGCACTTGACTCAATCTATTGTTGCATTCTTCCATTAAGTCCAAATAATATAGTTACCCCATTCTAGTACCACAACCAATCACGGCCCTAGTGAGCAGAAAGACAATATAGTGGCAAAAAAGAAACATAACAATTAAGGGAGTCAATTATTTGAGAAACAGATAAAAGATCGTAATCTAAAGATGGTACAACTAGGACTTGATCAAGATTGAGTGAGGAAGTGAAAGAGAGCCTTCTCCGGTAACCGAAGAGATTGAACCATTGGCACTTGTAATGAATGTCTGGTTGGCTGCTTTTAGTGAGTGAAGAATGTTAGCATCAGATGTCATGTGATATGTGGCACCTATATCAATAATCCACGATCTATTACAAGTATTAGTGGATGTAGAATTAGATATACCTGAGGTGTTCAAGGTTTTTGGGACCTGGTCAGATAAGCTAACATCTTGAGAAGACTCAGAGGTGGTGAATGATGCTCTGCTGGATTCCTTTTTTCGTCCTTTGAACCCATCCTTCTGGATATCCAATAATCTCATAACAGCCTTGAATAGTATGATTTTCAATCCGCATTTGGTGCATTGCATAGGTGGTCGATTACTAAATCGATCAGCTATTGAGCAGTTTATGTTTTGAAGTCGAGGTCCTTGTGGAGATCAAGAATTTGTGGTAAAGAGCACAATAGCTTTAGGCATATTGGCACTTTCTGACATGGTTCCTTGTCGATTGCTTTCACGTTTGACATGAGAGTATGCTCCTTCAAGACCAAGTTTGGGCTCCATCCTCAAAATCTCACCACGAATTTGATCAAACTTGTTATCTAATCCTGCAAGAAAAATATAGACTCGAAGTCGCTCAATTTCTTGCTGCCTTGATAAGATATCATCTGGGTCCTTCATGTTAGTAGGACTAAGTTGATCAAGTTCTTGAAAAATCTCGGTGAGATTGCTGTAATAGTTAGCAAGAAGAGCTCCATTTTGCTTCATGGTAAATGACCTTTTATGAAGATCATAAATTTTAGCTTCATCAGAGCCATCTAAGTAAGTCTTTTTAATGGCATCCCATACCTGCATGGCTGTGTCATAACAGATGAACCGTTTCATCTGATTGGGTGTTATAGTATCAAATAGCCAACTTTTGATTTAGTAATTTTCAGCTCGCCACTTGTTATACATTGGGTCTGTGACTGCAGGCTGCTTGGTACCATCGAAAAGATGCCCATGTTTTTCTCGACCAGCAATTTTCATCTCTATGACTTGATGCCATAAAGTATAGTTGTTCTCATCAAGTTTAATTCCTACAGAGAAATTGGAATTATCATTTTGAATGGTGACCACTTGTGTGGTGGAGTTTGATTCACCTGGTGTGAAGGACTGAATTGGTAGGTCTGATACTTCATCATCACTAGCCATTGTATAGGATTAAGATCAATGAAGTTGAAATAAAAATAAAACTGATATGATGATTGAGATATGATATGGCGGAAGCTTTTTTTTCTATTTTTGAGGTTCAAGAGTCAGTCATGATCGACTGCTCTGATATCATCTCAGAAATTGTAATAAACTTCATTGTTATTTGTTTACAAGAGGGAAGTCCTCTCTTATAGAGGGTAAAAAACTACACAACTAGTCCTAACAAGTGGACAAGCAAAATGATGATTACATGAGGAAAACACTGAAGAGGAAAATAAGGAGAAAAGGAAAGTAAAGCAAAGTAATAATGGCTAGCTATAAAGTAAAGTAATGATGGTTAGCTAGAGGAATAATTACAAGTCTATTGTCTATATCAATAATGTCTAGCAGTTATTGTTGACAATTATTTCAGCACATATGGTGTGTCATATTATCAACTTATATTTGTATCTAAGCAGAATTCACGTTCAAGAATCTGTTCAGAACTTCAAAATATTTCTTATTAATTTAAGAAGGGAGAGGATTAACTAAATCATTTGTTTCCATCCGACGGAAGACAAGGTCCATATAAGTTACACATTAGAATTTCAAGAGCACACAATATTCATCCTCTCACAGTTTCCTTGTGTTATTTTCTGCCGAGCATTAGCCAAAAAGCTCTTGTGGGGTTGGTTCGGGAGGTGTATGCCGAAGGTTTTTGAAACAACGTATCGGTAGTAGCTGCCGAACTTGCCAAACGATTCGCGGATACGAACCTGTAAGAGGATGAAGTTGGTGTTATTTTCTAAGGGTTGGAGAGAGTGAATGAGTGTAGAAAGAAGAGAGTTTCGTATGAGGATGGACGGGAAGAATTATTTTGTGTTTTTTTGGGTAAATAATTTAAGTTTTGTGAAAAGAGAGATGTTAGTGGCAAGTGTCTTGTAGCTCATTTGGTTAAGAATATTTTTTTTTAGCGCTTAAAGTCTTGTGTTCGAATCCTCCTTACGATGGTTTAAATGAGTTTGTGTAAATTATCCTATCTTTTGTAAGGAAAAAAAAATGTTATTAAAACTTCAAAAATGTCTGTATTACGAGGTCTATTGTAACATGCACTTTCATTCTGATTTGACCCAAAAAATGGAAGCACAAAAATAAAAGCAACAAAAAAATTTGTCAAACTATTTTCGTGTTTTTAAACATTAACTGTAATCAATCAATTTATTGTGTCCATTGCATCAAGCAGAGAAAAATCACTTTTCCCAAAATGTTTCTGTTTCTGGTTTTCCTTGCATATGTTCCACGGAATCAATGTTCACGAGCACATACTCAGAAAAACAGGATGAACAAATTCCTGTTTGACATAAATATAAATAGCAGTAGTAACAGGCTAACAGCAAACTTCAAACTTAAAACAATAACTTCTCTTCCCGCTCTTAGCGCATTGCAGCAAACCGGTTCATCTTCCACTGCAGAGGTTGGTATGTCTTCTCTGTTTGCTCCTCCTTAGTCCATGGGAGCTTGTGATGGGCCATTTTTCTCTTCTTTGCAGATACTCCCAAGTAATCTCCGTAACTCTGCGTATAGAAAATACGAGAGATATCAGTCACTTGTTACTTAAACCAAAGGCTGATTCTATTAGTTCAATGTACATACTTTGTGAAGAAAAGGAGATGAGTCTATATATGTTTAACAACTTATTGTTTCTTTTTTAATATGCTTCACAACTTGCTAGATTAGGTTAAGTACTAGTCTGCAACTTCTTACGACTACCATAATGTTGGTTTTCAGTGTCGAACGAGGAGATAATGAAATAAAAGGATGAAAAGAATTTCTGTACCTTGAGACAGAGGCCCTCAGAGACATCACAAATGGGGTAATCACTCGGGCAGCAGTATTCAGTTCCAGTGCAGCAAACCGCATTCTGATAGTCGCAGCAACCATAGATGAGGCAGAAGCCATAAAATTCATAAAGGCAACAGCATGTTTGATCAGATGGACAGTAGGAGAAGTCCCCACAATCACTTGGTGACGGAGATGGTGGTGGTGGTGGTGGTGATGGTGGTGGAGGTGGTGGTGGCGGTGGTGACGGCGGCGCAGGAGGTGGGGGTGGAGAGGCTGGGGAAGGTGCAGATGACTCTTTGGTAGGATATGAAGCCATGGCGTTGATTGCACAAACCCCATATGTTAAACTAGTGTTCCTTCTAATGTAAATGTATCCATCCATCCCCCAACTAGTCCCCCATGAATTCTTTACAATCCAGTAATCTTCATCACCTTCAGAACCATATCCCACTATAAGAACCGCATGGTCAATGTCGTCTGGATCAGAGGAGCAGTCACCGTCATAGATACCCTGAGTGGATGGTGAATCACATTACATTTTTATCTACTGTGTCTTGCTAACGTTTCAGACATCCAAGCAACTAGTAAAATGAACACAAATTCAACTTACTCCGGTGTAAAGTTGGAAATCCCAAGCAGAACCGTCCATACCAACACTAATGGGCTGCTGAACAGAAGCACATAAAAGATCGCCGTCTGTTTCTCCCACATCTTCATATCCGTCAATGGTGACAGCTTTGTTTTCCTCCTGTATAAGGAAGCACACAAATAAGAACCTACAAAAAGTGGATAAAATTTGTGCCAGACAAAAGCATTATAAGCCATAGAAAAATCAGACCTTGGTGGTGCTGCATTGACCATCCACACCGGTGTATGGATAATCAGTTTCCGTATCAATACCACCATTGCTAATAACCCATTCAAAAGCGTAGTCCATGTAGCCTCCCTCACATCCATAGTTAGTACTGTCACAATCCACAAGCTCTTGTTCTGAAAGGCTAATGAGGTCTCCGGTGACTATTGCATTGATTCCTTCAACAGCTCCAGTGCTAGAGAATGCCCAACAACTTCCTGTGAACACAAAAACCAGATGTCTTTAAGAGATCGATAAAACTTAGCATGAATGTCAATTTAGACAGGACGTGACGCTTACAATCTGGGAGCACCGCGGATGATATGTCATTTCATACGAACACTATAAACGTTCTCTTCCAAAGTGGAAGAAGAGAAAAAGATTATCTATTATCATTTCCCAATAAACTTGTTTGTTCAGTAAAACAGCAGAAGCCAGCTCTGCAAGACATTTGCAAATTCATATCCCAACTCCAAAGGAGTGAAAGTTATCTTATTATATTTTATTACCATGTATTACTACAACCAAACTCCTTTTTAACCATCTAAAGCATCTTTAGTATTTTGACCATTGACTTTTGATAGCATAGAAACCAAAAGGTCAATGAATGATGACCACTAAAGATGGCCTTCTTTAAAAACATTGTTCATCAATTCAATTGGTTGAATCCAAAATCTCCCCTTTTAACCAATTATGTTATCATGAACTTTAAGTGTGAAGCCTCTTTAGAGTTAAAGATGTATGTCAACAAGCTTACAGTTACTAAACTATGCATATATGTGCAATCAAAAGCCAGATAGAAGAACCAATGCTCATCTAGTGTGCATCTATCCTAAAATGATATCTGATCCCTTTTTCACAACTAACTTATGGAGGGAGATTCGAACTTGAATGTAAAGGATGACAGTATGACACTGCGCTGACCAACGCAGCTAACCCAGATATCGCACTACTAGCCCAACCCACATCTGCAATATCTGACCTCTAAAAGTCCAAACTTTTACCATAAAAGTCCAAACTTTTACCACAATAATACTCAGAACTATTCATATAAACTTGTAAATAATCGAAATGCACTCACTACCTAATGAAATATATGAAATCGAAACATACCACAACTGCCTTGGTCCTTGATACCAGTCACAACTCCCTTCTTCCTCCAATCGAAAGAAGAAGGAGCATCACATGACTTCACTGGTTTGCCCCCCATTTTCTTCACCAGGTTAAGATTCTCCCTTTTGAGAAGGGGCATTTGCACCTTCTTAGACAAGTAAGTCTCCCTGAACTCCTCATTACTCATGTCAGCAAACCCATTCAACCCAACCCTCTGACTACGATGGGCATTCTTTGCATCCCTCTTCTTTGCATTCTTCTCCAACACAAACTTGAGATTCTTCTTGAAATGCTCAAACCTCCTCTCATGCTCTCCAGCATGCCTATACACCTTCCTGTGCTTCTGCTTCCACAGCCTGAAAAGCTCCACAACTCTCTCCTCTGCAGGAAAGTGTTCCACTATTTCTTGCCCAACGATGGAGTATTCACTTGGGAGACTAGAAGAAAGGCACGCCAGTGATGCCCAGATTAAAAGAGCCAAACCCAATTGAATTTTGTGGGAACCCATGACTTCCTCAACTGGGTTTCCACTAAAGATGCTTGATTTGGATCCAACTCCATTGAAATGTATATATGGTGAGAGCAGCTGAAGACCCAACCTACCAGTCAATTCACAAACACTAACAAATCTGCTTTAATTCTAGGGATGACAAGAAATCGTATTATTAAGATATTTTCTTGGTATTTTTAATTTAATTTGTTGAAGTACCAAATTTTGTTGGTGGTCTGGGAGTTGAAATATTTACCCGTCTGCTGTTCAGCTCTCTTGACTTGAGAGTGGCTGACTGGAAGCAAGAGAGAGACCTACCATTCAACTGTCTGCAACACCCGACTGGAAGCTAAAGGTTGAAACTTTCTACAACGAGATATTTGGGAAGGTGTACCGTACCAAAATAGGAGGGTAATATCCATGCTGGACGTTGGAATGGCCTGGATGCGGAGAAATTTTTAATTATGACATGATGGTATATCACGTATTTTAATAAAAGTGATGTGAAATTTTATTTTTTAAGCTATTAACTTTTTAGCACATATATCTCACAATTTATATAATAATATGTAATGTATACCAATCACACTGAAAATTCTCTCATCGACGTGACCATGCGATCCATATGGGAAAGGACTAAATTTAGGTTGGAGCAGAATGAGGGTAACATTTAGGCCCATACATAATAAATGTTGGGCTCAATCTCATTTTGTGATTTTGAAGAAGGATCGTGCTCTTAAGGTCCTCAACATGTGAGGATCGAATATCAAATATTTAAAGGCTTACAACAACACAAGAAAATGAGTTTTCTATTAATTCTTGGATTTTAAGTTGATTTTGCTTTATTAAGTTATCAAATATTTTCAGTCTTTGGATATAAACTAATGCAACCTTATGACTAATATGCATTTGATCCTCAAAATAAGAAACTTTGGAGAGCAAGACTGTTTGGGAGAAAGTTTTGGGTTAGGTTGTCTGACAATGTTATCGTGCGATCACTCTGACATAATGAATGTCATACTCATTTAGTAGTTTTCTAGGGGTTCTTTTGACACTATTTCTAAATAGTCTAAAAGCACTTCTTGACAACCGAAGTGTCAAGAAATCTCAAACGCTACAAAAAAGCACACTCATCCCCCAAAATATCTTCGGGACAAGAATTGTGTGCCTTTTCTTTTTCCATGTCATTCCATCTTTTACTGTTTGTGTAATCACGGTTAAGCCACGTCAACATTATATATTATTATTCATTTTTGTCTTATTATTTTTATAAAAAAAAAAATATAAAATGTTAACATGATTTAACCGTGATCACACAAAACAGGAATGCATAGAATGACATGAAAAAATGGAAGGCAGACAATCCTTGTCCAATATCGTCGTCCCACGATGAGTGCCTCTGCACACGTAAAGCGACACGGCTCTACAACTACAAATTTCCAACGCTGACGCAAAGCTGGTCATAACAAAATGCCCAAATGGCACTTGGTCACTCTGAGTCTGAGAGCAAGGATATCGAAGGTCTTCTACCTAACGAAAAAATCATAAGAGGGCTCAGACTCGAGATCCTTCAACTCTCTCAACAAATTAACAAGTGATTTCTTAATCAAATTCCTCTATTACGAAGCATCCCAGAATCCAAAACTAAGCAAATACACCTCACATTTTCATTAAATTTATTTAATCAGACAGTCTAAAAATGCAAAAAGATGAGGAAAGAAGCTAAAAAAGGTGCATGAAAATAGCTTTAAAATAGCGGCAAATAGCAGAGTAGTAGTGGTTCGATTGAGCAATCGAAGCTCTCTACTGTCAGTGTCATGACATCTGCTAGTCTTTAGCTAACTTGCAAGGAACTGTTAGGTCGCCTTTGGGTAACGCCGTGTATTGCTTTGGGTAACGCTGTGTATGGATTTGCCTCATAATTTTAATCAACCATTATCAAGCTAGCTGGAGTCAAGTATGTCCAACGCATTAGTTTTAGTTATATCCATTTTTATGTTATTATTTCATTTTCATCCAACGTCAAGTGGCGAACAAATGGTGAAACGTTCAGGTTCTCTTTAATTAACTGTGTTTCGAGTTTAAATATTAAAAAAAGTCATCATTCGCTTCAAGTATATATATGTGTGTGTGTGTGTGTGTGTGTGTGTGTGTGTATATATAATACACTTAGAGAGGAGAGGAGTGCAATATCTGTTTTTATGATTTTTTGGCAAACGAAAAGGTTGTTCTTTTGTGACAAAAAAGTTACGGTTTCAAGCCGTGAAAGTTTTTTTACATTTGATTTTGGGCTCCAAAGCACTAGATATATGCTTCTTGCAGGAAACGGTTGAAGTGTTTTTCAAGAATTCACTTGAATTCTATTAAGGATTGATTTAAAAAATATTTTCACTAAAAGAGCATTTAAGTCATTTTAAAATCACTTCTAAACGAGCTTTAATTTGGTAGATAGTGCTTTTCGTTTTGACTTGCTTCTTTCGGAATTCAAACTCTTATTCTTCTCTAAATCTAAGTTAGATTTAGTATTAAAAAAGATGGAATACTTAGCACATAGGAGCTGGAAAGTCGGACATCAATTATTGATTAGTTTATTACAACATAAGGAAAACCCAAGAAAAATCGTTAAAATTAAGCTTATTAACTAGTTAATGATCAGCACGTAGCAGCCATCTTTTCTGAAACTTTAGCTAATGACTTGAGATTACAGCCTATAATCGTATTAGCAAACAAACAAGTATCCTCCTTGCTACTTCCGGCGGGAATATCCACCACGTACGACTGAATCACAACCGTCTTATTCTTCCTTCCATTTTCTTCTTCCACATTATGCACCGTAGTGGTAGAACTGTAATTTGCAAGCCTGTGATCCCCACCGATAACGCTATAATGCATGACGTGCATGTTGTCGTCGAGCTCGTCCAGCCTCTCCGTGCTGGTTTTCGCCGGCAACCCAGACTTAATCACGACTTCCCGAATGCTCCCTATGCCTCCGTTCCCCGCCCGTATGCTGCAACTATTAACGAACGGCTTGTAAGCCTGCGGATTGTCGAACTGGCGGAGGACGGACCATACTAGGGTTAGCGGTGCGTCGATGGTTTGGACGAGTACCGAGCCGCACTGGTTCGGCAAAAGATCGTGGACATGGTAGGTGTCGATCATACCTTGACTTTCGCTTAGAGGGCTTGTATTTTGGGACGTTGGGTACGACATTTCTTGGTTATTTATTTTGTTTTTATCAAGTGCTGGGAGTTTGGGGACTGTGGTTTAGGGTTACCCTTTATATACAGGTGTGGTGGAATTTTTCGCTAGGGTTGTACTTAAAAATACCAAAAAAGGAATGGATTAAAAATAATACCAAAAAAGGTATGGATCTTGATTAGGCCTTGGGAATGGTTGCCGTTGGAGGCCAGTGATTTGGTCATGTGCTCATTCTGGTGATGGTCACTTGTTTGTTTGTTGTGGTGTCCTTATGTGAATGGTTTACTCCAAAATATCTTCTTTGTTGTGTACATGTGGATGTGGACCATATCTTGACATGTCAGCAAAAATGACAGTTGTTACCAGGTGTACCATATCAGCACGTTATAGTAGTGCCCTCTTATATCCTCCTATTTTGTGTGGTTACGATTAAGCCACATCAACATTTTATGTTTTTTTTTTTTTTATAGAGATAATAAGACAAAAATGAATAGTAATATAAAATTTTGATGTGGCTTAACCGTAACCACACAAACAGGAGGACATGAAAGGGCATGAGAAGTGGGAGGGCAAACAATCATTGTCCATCTAATTATTGCCCCTATACTGTTGATGCTATCCATGCTTGAATGTACCCATGTGCTGGATAATGAAAAGCAAATGAGGCTAATCAGATCGCGAATATAACACGTGGTGAGGTGGGCTGACCTAAAATTTTAGTGCAAAAGTCTCTCTGGATTTTGTTTAGAGGCATCATTCTAGCTTCACGAGATGTGTAACAATTTTTATTATGAGAAATACTAAGGAGATTCTCTTAAAATGGATAGACCATTTCCCACCTGGTTTAACATTAATTTTCCGCTATCATTATAAAACATTACGCAAAAACATGAGGTGACAGAGAATCCATGAAGAATCCCGCTTTTGAAAATCTCCTTCGCATTTCTCTTTTATTATTACTAGCCTTCATGCACACACTCACGCACGTGCAGAATGCATTTTTTGAATTACGGCATGTTACGCGTGATTTACACGTTTTAAATGTATTTATATGCGTAAATTGATAAAAGGAAAGTCAAATATTTGAAGTAAATGAATAATCTTAGATCAAATATCGTTTGTTAAAAAAACAATCATTTGACAACTAATTTGATCACATTATTATCCGCGTGGGAAATATATTTTTTATAACCAGCGAATCACATTATTATCTGCGTGGAAAAGATCTTTTTTATAACCGGCATTACACGTTTCTTAAGATGTTTTGAACGTATTTAAAAATAGAGAAAATAATATTTCATGAACATCTGATTGAATTACATTATTGCTAGCCTATTGTAAGGTATTAATTAAAAAAAATTGTACTAATTTATCACCGGCGCTACGCGCCTCTTGATGTTTTGAACACAATATTTATGATTTTCCTTATTTTTTATTATATTTTTCTTTCCCCTTCACGTAGGCACCATCAACTTTCACTCATCCTTCTATTTTTTTATTCTTTTCTCTCCCCACTTATTATATTTATTTTATAATATTATATTTTATGATGACCAAATTGCCCTTGCATTATTTGATATATTGTATTGGGCTGCTTTTGGATTTTTTTGGCTGAGGGACAGTTTGGTCAAATTATTTTTGTCGAAGCCAGTGACACCAAAACAGCCTTCTGGCTTTGTATATAGATTTATTCTTAATTTGTTTTCTATTAATTTTCATTTGGGGAAAATCAAATGCTCTTGATGACAAATTTTTTTGCAATCCGGTTTCACCCGATCTGGGCCTGAACCAACAAGCAGGCATGTTAACAAACAATAGCCCAACTTCTGAGCCCAAATCAAACAATCTTGGACCAGATAGGAAAACAGCCTACTCAAACAAAAAGCTGGTTCAAGCAAAAATACAGAATAATAGGGCGCATATGGAAATTAAGTTAACATCCTCTCAAAAGTAAGACTTTTCATAGACTCTCTGTCATCTCATAGTTTAACGTCAATTCCGGTGCCTAACATTATAAAACATTGTGCTAAAACACGAGACGGCAGAAAATCCATAAAGAGTCCCATTTTTGAGACAGCAAGCATACCCACATGTTGTCTCGTTTTGTGTCTAGGGCTGAAGGAAGAAACGAAAAAAAAATTGTGCCCAACTATTATCCATTCCAATCCCCAAAACGGTAACGATAACAAGGGATAGATTTCCTTCATTTCTAATCCCCTTCTAAATCCTTTTGAATGAAAATCTTTCACCTCCACCTTCAATTACTCCAACTTTATGAGTTATCCAATCCATTCCAATTCTAAACAACAAACGAGTTCGAGTTTTAAGGGAAAAAATGCAGAATTGAAACCCTCTTCAATACATAACTACAAGTCTAAAACTTTTACTTTGCGTCTATCGCACACGCACGAACACAGTTAGCTAGTTTGTTTCCACTGAGGAGGCCCTTAACATGCCTCAACATTTATAGTGAGTAATGAACATGTTCAACTTCAAGCAACAAACAAACTCTAAGAAGATGGTGTCAACTATGTCCATTCATACCAAATCGGAAACATCAAATCATAAAAAAGCACAGAGGCCGATTATCATCGACAGGCAGATGGAAAAATAAGGAATTGGTATAGGTATAATCAGACAGCAAAGTTAAATCTAACCTGCAATCCGCCACAAATACCAATCGCAATGTCTATCACTCGCATCTTGCACAACAAAACCACAAAATTATATCACGAACACTAAAGCACAACAGGCGATCATCCGAGAATAGCAATAACCGCAATCAAGAATGCAATGCAGCTAAGGATGGATGGGTCTGCAATTTATCAAGCAAACATAAAGCTTCTTGTTTATTAGTTCTTCTATACAAGTTCAAGTGATGATTCAGTAACAGAATTGCAGCAACCACAAAATTCACAATTGCGAAAACTATCAAAGCCAAAATCGAAAATCAGATATCGAAAACTACCCTTTTAGGGCGCTCTGGGATCGGTCCCGTGCTGCCAAACATACACAAGCTCGTCCCAACCAGTACTGGCCAGAAGCCCCTCCACCAACACGCTCATATCCACACCCACCGCGAACTCCGTGTGGTGGTCGTACCGCGCCACCAGCGCATCCTCCACCATGTAATCCCACAAGCAAACCGACATGTCGTACGAGCATGACATGATCAAGCTTTGCCTGTGCGGCGAGAATTTCACCTTCCTCACCGCGTAGCCGTGGCCGTTGAGCACCGAGACCGGAACCCTCATGCTCCTCACGTCCCAGACTTTAATCGACTTGTCGACGGAGGCGGTGGCGATGCAGCAGTCGTCGTACTTGTTCCAATCGCAAGCCAGGATCTCGAGCTCGTGCGCGGGGATGATCATGGTGGATCCGGGCTCGCGCACGTCCCAAACGCGCAGAGTGCAGTCGCCCGACGCGGAGGCGAATACATCGGCATGGCGGGGGTTCCAGACGGCGGAGTAGACGCAGTATGCGTGTTCCTTGAAAGTTCGAACAGATGCGGGACGGTCAACGGTCCATAGCTTGACGGTGTCGTCCCATGAGGAGGTGAGAAAGGAGTCGCGGCGGGTGGGGTTGTAATCGGCGGAGCTGACCTCGCGGGTGTGCTCGTGGAGGGAGCGGAGGGGGTTGGAGGCCGGGGGCAGAGCGGTGTCGTAGATCTTAACGGAGCCATCGGCGATGGCGGCGACTAGGAGGGAGTCGTGGGACTCAGACCATGCGACGTCGTATACGCCGTCGGCGGTGTCGTAGGAGACGAGCTCGGTGATTGGTTGGCGGGGTGCGCCGGGGCCCAGAGGGGCGGGGGCAGGGGAGAGGTCGATGACGTGGAGGCGGCCGTTGCCGAGGATGCCGAAGTTTTGGGAGGTGGCGACGGCGAGTCGGGACTCGTAGAAGGGGCTGAACTTGACGGAGTATCCGTTGAACGGAGCTTTGAAAACTGGCATTGTTCAGTCCAATTCAGTGAGATGCTCTCTCCGCCGTTGGCTTTGGATTTCGGGGGGTTTCAGAGGCTGACGAGCGCTTCGGATTATTTGGAGGTCAATTTTATTTTTAATCATGTTTTTATCTTGTCATCTTCTTGGGAAATGGAAAGTTCGTCAAAAATAAAAAAAGAAATAAAAATTTGAGAACTCTAACCAAAAGCTACCAGTGCTGTTTATTTTAACGAAAAACCATATTTTTATGTTAAAAAGTCAATCATGCTACTATTCACTCCCTTTATTTTGTCTTTACGTTAAAATTCAAAAATTTCAAATCATTTTTATTAGTTTTTCTTAAAAAAATTACACAAATATTCTGGCCCACTTCTATTATGATCTATTGGCCCACTTGGCCCACTGGGCCCAATTTGTTTCTTCCAACTCTCGTGAACCAGAAGCAGGACTTGCCACCATTAAATTACCTCCTCGTTTCTTGAACATTTGTTGGAGATGATCAAGGCATGTAAATTGGTCCAGGCCCTAAATCTTTCAAGCCTAAGCCCACTAAGTTAATTTTGGTCGGCCGAATGATGGAAGCTCGCCATAGATGTGCTTAAGCCTTACCCTACCCTATCATATTGATCTTGAGTGTATGAACGGTTATTAACTGTAGATGCATATGAATGTTGTATTGTAACACACGTTTTGTGCATGCTTTATCTAGAATTTTATGAGTATCTATGTAGAAAGAAAGTTTAACCTTGTTTCGGAAATTAGCTTAAATAGTGAGAGCGAGCAAATAAATGGTTACAATTCAGTTTTGGGATAAAAAAAGAAATTCGTTAAGAGTGGTACGATAATTTATATAAGACAAACATGTCAATCGTGGTCCTCAGAGCGAATCAAGACGCCACCCAAGTCAAACAAAACACCAAAACTCCACAATTACAAACTCATAAAAAGTACAATACAATTTCCCAATAACGGAGGACCCAAAATTCAACCAATAAGAAAATAACACCCAATTACTAAACCTTAGAAGTCGGAGAATTACCATAAAACATCACGACGAACTTACCACACCAACCTCTAATGATTCTACAATTGTCGATAAAAAAAGCCTTGTTACAAGCCACCTCCAACAACCATTGAGCTTCTTTCTCGTAGTTATTTACCAAGCGCACAAACCGCTACAAAGCCCTCTCCAACAAAATAGAAGGTAGCTTGACCTTGACACAATGAATGAATTCTCCAACAGCTTGATTTTTGTCAGTGGGGCATCAAACAGGTTCCCGTAATTTTAGAATGGGGTTAAATTTTCGGGTGGCCGGATTTGGACTCTTCCCGAACGACTCAATAATAATGTTTGGATGTGTTTGGCCTCCATTATAATATAGTTAATACTAGAGAAACTAAATGTTTAGATTAAATTTTGTAAATAAAATGATATAAAAGTTGATGATTGAATTATTAAATGTTAATTAACGTTCTTATTTTTTATTGATGACGCATCATTTAGTTTAAAATTTTAGTTTACACATTTAATCTCCTTAGCATTACCCTTGTAATATATCCGCATATATAACCTTACTGCAATTTATAAACATTGGAAAAAATGGTAAACGAAGATTTATGAAGACTTTGAAAGAGGCTATAAGGAAGCATACGTAGTACTTAACGGAAGACCGAACGCATTAGCGTTTTAGGATTCATTTAACCGCTCATTACCTAATAAAATAAATCTTGATTATTGTTGTTGTTCCAAAATTTTGAGGGAACAAGATTATTTATTAATTTCATTTTGCAAATTTCCGGTAGACTTTGTGGGCTGCAGTCTGCAGATTTGAAATTTACCTAATCCACTATTTGAACACCTTCACGTGCAAAAAGAAATGGAGCTTAGTATATTCGCTTCACCCTCAATACAGTGGATATGTAATTTTTGGGTTCTCAACCCTAATTTACTAATATTCATGAAACATAGACGCTAAAGTGTACGTTTTAAATTGATCATGTAATATTGTGTAAAACATTGTAATGTGTAACGTCATGTTATTACTCTGAAATACAAGATGGTGTCCCAAAAAAAAAACTTTAAGTGATTTTAATAGCTTAGTTTTTCAAATATAGAGGGTGTGTCTTGGCACAATAATAATGTTGTTTCTTTGTGATCGAAATGTCACATGTTCGAGCTGTTAAAACAATCTTTTTACAAAATAAAAATAAGACTACATACAATAAATGTTCTCATATCAACCCTCGCAAAGCGGTTGGCTTGAGGTCGCCTTTTAGTTTCCAAATACAAAAATTAAAACCTCCTGCATATGGCCCCTCCTCTCCAAACCACACCACAGGCTCACATGTTGCCCACTTTAATGGGTGGGACAAGTTGTGGATGGGACATAATTAACTGGCACTAATCAAGCATTTTCGACAGTTTAACTATAGCTTACATTATTTTCTCATGTCAAATCTATAGGTCGGTTCCAAGGAGATGTTATAATTCCAATTGGTCAATCCATGATAATATTGTACATATCAAATCAATCTTGGAAATTCTAATAGTGTCATGATCTTATCTTTGGACTTTTCAATTTGCTTCGGTGGCATCTCTAAAGTCGGCTTAACTAAGACAAGAGCGAAAGCATCTCTCTCATGACATCTACCCAATTTAGAATCAAAACTTAAACTCAATTTGTAGTGATTTCTAATCATAATAAACTTAATTGTTAACGTTTGCTCTAAAAAGTTAATATAAAAGTATTGATCATACTTTCCACATCAACATATATAAGACTATATTAGAAACCACTTTTATCAACCAGAAGTTTGTGATCAATTTGGTACAATAATATGAATAACACGAACGATTGTTAATTATTGATTGATGCGAGATTCACTGATAGTAGATCTACAATGTCAAGATGATGCAAGCAAAATCTTTTTACAAATTGGGCAAATACTTTCACACTTGAGCCAAACCACTCTGCAAGCCTAAAACCACAAAGAGATACTGTTAAAAGAAGTGATGTATCACACCTCACTTTCCAATGAAAACCACAACCCACATGATGTTGCTTGGGATATTGAAACTTTGAGAGATCACAAATCCCCTCTCTCAAAAGAAGATTTTCCCTATGCCCCATTTCCCACCCCCTCCATTCCCAATTCACTCCCAACAAAGCCGATCGGTTTCACTCCCTCTCCATCAGCCCCACACATACATACAAGTAGCCTCCACACACTAAATTAGAAAATAGCAAAGTAGGTATTCAATCTTGTTGTGACACGTGTCAGTCCTGGACTGAAACACTTGAGCTAGGGCACCCCTTTGCTGGCGATCCCAATACGAACATGTGCCATCCATAAGGTCCTTCAACCCTTTAAACCCAACCCCAAATTATTGTACTTGGTGAACGAGAAGGAAAGAGAGGGATGGGGGGCCTAAATGATGGATACCAAAAGGGCAAAGTACAGAGTGAGGTGCAATTATTCCTGCCATGGATTTCATCCTAAGCAAGTCATAAGCAGAAAATTCCCTCATCATCTAGCTAGCTCATCCCACAGATCAAAAGGTTTAAAGAAAATGAGAAAAGAAACAAAAAAAAAAAGAAGAAATTATTTGGATAATTTGGATACACAAGTTTGACACATTTATAATATAGATATGTAGACTTTACTTAATTATATTAGAAAATGTGAGAGTAAATATATTAATTTGTGTGTCTAAATAAATCGCCCGAAAGAAAAAGCAAGTACTATATAATAAACCTCATTTGATACAATCTTTAGGGTGACTGATATTCCCACTCTCATATAGCTAGAGCTATCTACCCAGGCAAAAATAGAAAAGGGTTTTAAATTAAAGAGACTTCTGTATTCTCTCTTTCTTATTCTCTTTCATTCACTACTTCTTTCTCCTCCTCCCTCTCTCTCTCTCTCTCTCTCTCTCTCTCTCTCTATGAGAGAGACTTTTGAAGGGAGAGACAAAAGATCATAGCTAGCTAGAAAGCAGAAGCAGCAGCTAGCCATGAAAAACACCATCAGGTGCTGCATCTCTTGCATTCTACCATGTGGAGCTTTGGACGTGATTCGAGTCGTACACTCTAACGGCAGAGTCGAGGAAATCAGCGGCACAATCCGAGCCAGCGAGATCATGAAGGCGTACCCTAAGCACGTCCTCAAGAAGCCCTCCTCGTCCGCGTCCGATCACGACGGGGTCGTCCCCAAGATCGTGATCGTTCCTCCAGACGCGGAACTCCAACGCGGCAAGATTTACTTCCTCATGCCTATGCCTGCTTCTTCGAACACGTCTGAAAAGGCGGGGAGGACAAGATCGTCGTCGGCAAAGAAGAAGCGGATTAAAGACGCCGAAAACAACAACATCACAAACAACAGCGTCGCCATCACCAACCTGTTGATAAATGATCGGTACTTGAGCGAAATACTGTCGGAAAAGCATTCGTCGCAGCGGGATCGGCGGCGAGGACGTGTTGGGGTTTGGAGGCCGCACTTAGAGAGCATTTGTGAGTCACCAAGTGATGTGTAATATTGGCGGATTTTCATTTTTTCGATCTTCTTCTTCTTCTCAGTTTTATCATTTGTCTTAAAGGTTCATATATTTTAGTAGGGTTTGTGCCCATTCTTTCTTTTTGCTGCCTCTTTTAATTTCCTTTATTTTCTGCCTTTTTCTTTGTTTTGTGTTTCTTGTTTTGTATATATATGAAAAAATAGGGAAAGAAGAAATAATATACAAACAACTTCTATGAGAGGGTCGATCTCTGTTATTGTGGTGGGTTCTCACCCGACTAGATAATATATATTTGAAGTTCATCGGTTCATGGTAATTAATTACTCCGTTGATATCTGTGTGTGGTTCTTGTTCAATTATTTCATGCAATGGCTATGATTTAATCTTGTAATTTTGGAGACGGGTGAAGATCAAGAAACTAAATTGTTATGGGTTTTGATTAATTATTTTGCTTCTTTTGTTTGGAAGGAGGAGTTTATCTGGGGAAAGAGACTACTATTTGAGAGAAACCAGTCCTACTGCTACTATGCCACTGGAAAATATGATTTGCTTTATTTCTTGATTTTCGTCGAGAAAAATGAAAGAATAATTCCACACTTTCTAATTACACAAATAATTTTTCATGCGTATTTCTTATATATGGATATTATTTATCGAAATTTAGTATGATAATAATTTCTCATACGCTTTTGACGGGGTAGACATCATCCACACTCATTTTGGGTTTTTTTTTTCCCAAAAAATATATAAAATTATCATATACATTGTTTGATATGATGATGAGATTATCAAAAACACATTGAGGTGGATGGAAATGATAGTCCCCACATACTTTTTCTTCCACCACATATAGGATAATGCAAATGTAGCTTTGCACACTAGCTAACAAGTGGGTATATGGCATGTCTTTAGGCATGTTGTTCTCTTTGAGAATGATTAATTAGATATAGAGATGCTGCCAATAGCATCCTGTAAAGGTAATCACAGTAGGGTTTGACCCTTTTTTCTTCACATTGGCCGGTGGCAGAGACAGATGGTTTAGCCTTTGATGAGCAACCCCATGTTCCGATCGATCCCCATATATGAATTCTTCCTGTCCCTGGCAGTCCCACCATCAGGGGCCAACCAAAAAAAGGCGTCACAGAATTCAGATATGTGATTGAAATTGTATTATCTCATTCACTTGATCCTTTTGGTACATGTCAGATTCATATATGTGTGTGTGTGTGTTTATATATAGCAATGGTTATGGAATACACTCATTACTTTTAGTGTTTCCATCTAACTATCTCTTTAGTCATAATATAATGAGATATCCAGTGATGGATTTGATTTTAGATTCATAATCTAAATTAGTTTTACGCTTCCATTCATTACTCTGAATTTCCTCATTCTTAAGGAATCCATCCTTCAGTATTTCCCAAACACTTAAGGACTTACTTGATAGTTTTCATAGTTATGATGACTTGCACTGATATCTTTTGCACTTTTTCTTAGTAAAACTCTTATTAGTGTTTTTCATACAATATGAAATACATAAAATCACCTTTTGCGAATTCATAAAGGATTCCATTCACGCGTTATTTCTCTTTGGGAGTGTTAGGAGATCAACTTCCTAGTCTCTCTTTCTATTAATAGAGATTGAGATAATCCAATTAACTTTTGAAATCCATCATAATAGATTCCATTCCCTAGTATATAGAATATGTCTCCCATATATATATATATATATATATATATATATATATATATATATATATATATATATATATTAACAGTATATAATAATTTTATTTTCATTTCCAAAATTAATATATCTCATGTATGTACAAATTTAGGGATATGACTAACTCCCACTAATCTTTTGTAAAACTAGTAAACAAAAGATTCATTTACATCTTTATGAGAAATCAAACAATTTGACCTTTTCACATGAGATGCTAATAGCTCCCACTATTTTGATTAGATTCATGGTGGATGGATCTCTATAACTTATACACATTGTGATTCCAAGTTTTAGACATAAATCATTAGGACTATCCTTATGATGGTTTTGAAAAACTTACATTATCTCCATACTTTGAATCATTATGTAGTTGTGGCAAGCAATCTCTGAATGAATTGAAACCAATACTACGTCAAAGAAGGTTTCTTTCAAGTCAACCTATCTCTTAGCTACCAATTAACTTTTTAGGTTTCTTTATTCGAGTTAAATGGTAACATACCATTTCTTTGAGTCGATGTCATACATAGGCTCAATGTAGTCTCGATGATCTTCTCATTAATTCATTTGAATTAAGGACGTGTAACTCTATGACTTAGTCATAAAGTTCAAACCATTCTTCTTAAATGATTTCTTGATCCTTTAGATCTACTTGGAGCTCGTAATGTAGGAACTTGGTTGTTAAGCTTGTTGAGTTCATCTTATACCTCAAAGAACATGTTCCTTGAGTTCTCTCTCTTGTTCATTTGCTCTATCTAAGGCAAATCTTATTTACGATTATAATGAACAACCCAACAAACAATATTTGTTAATTGGTTTATAGAAGTGATATCCAAAGGTTTATTTAAGGATATCCCATAAGTGTAGTGTACTTCTAACAAACATTGCTTTAGCACATATGCAAGTCTATTGACATACATTTAACAACCCCAAATCTTAACTTGATTAAGACTTGACTTTCTTTCCCATTACATCTCATGAAGTTTGAAATTTAGAAGAAACTCTAATTAACAATTATATTGCCTTAGAAGAAATCAACAGGCTCCGACTCGGCAATCTTGCCTCCTTCAAGAGGAGTTCCATGCTTGTACGCAGTAGTCCTCACAACTTCGTCTTCATCAAGCCTCGCCTGTGAAGTCGCATACTTTATATCGTCCCAACTCTTTGCCATTGTCTCTCTATCCCCTCTCTCTCTCTCTCTCTCTCTCTCTCTCTCTCTCTCTCTCTGGTTTAGACTGAACCGCATGAGACATGAGTCGGTTCTGATGATCTGATTTCATTTATAAGAGGTATTTTGTATCATTACGTGGCAGATTGGTTTAAGATGAAAGCTCGCTCTAGCTATGTTTCCGTTAAAGATTATTATGACACGAGAAATGAAAAATGAAAAAATGATTTATTTTGATTCTTTATAAGTGCTGTAATTTGAGTGGACACTTGTTTTGTTACCTTTTTATTTTTAGGAAAGATAACTGTTATTAGCACGCTAAAAATTTCATTATATACTCATTACAATTGTATTTTTTTTTAATTATAGAAAGTTTGAAGTATTAAATAAGATTTTTGAAGTGGTAATAACAATTCCTGTAGGAAATTATGGTTAATAATCCTACATATCGTTTGATACGTGGGACGGGATGGAACGGAATGGAACAAAGCGTTCCTTCCCACGTTTGGTGCGCCTAAAACTGGTGGAACGCGCTGTTCCACGGGACGAATTTTTGGTGAAGTTTCGTGCCACTACACCCCTGGAACGACTCGTTCCATATCCGTGGAACACAAAATTATAACCTCTCCGTCTCATTCTTCTTCCTCCTTGTTTCCATCCGAGGACATCTTTGCTCTCTCTCCATTCTATCTCGTCCTGTCCCGTCCTGCCCCTTTTCGTCTCGTCTGCATACCAAAGGATACCCTAGTGAACAAAAGTAAAGGGCTAAAGATCTGTTGTCCCAAAGTGGGTGTCTCCTTACATGTCTCGTAGCTAATATTACTACACGTGTCCTTACACTCCGTTAAATACTATATCAAAGTATAATTAAATAAAATCGAAGATTAATTTGATAAAATCCTACTGCCTTTAAAAGTCTAAAGGCATTAAAATTTCACCGAGTCGTCTTCCTCCTTATCACTTCAGTCCTCCGCCGCCGCTCGTCTTGATCTGAGCGAGCAATCCCCTCTCCCTGTCTTTCCAGTCTGCCGCCGCTGCCGCCGTACTACCAAAAAATGAACCTCCTTTCCATGTCTCATTACACAGCCTGGACTCGATTGCTTTAGCAACGTCATAGAAGACAGCTATCACCAGACTTGATACGGGGTGTTCTGCTCTGAATCTCTTGCGAGCTTCTCTATCTTTGGTCACCATTTGTATGAGAGGCCAAAACGAGAGATTTCTCGAGTTTGGGTGTAAACGGATGCAGATAAAATTCGTTCTTGACAAATTGTTGGATTCAATCTAAATTTACAGGTTCCAACTTCTCAAAATTGAAGAATTTGAGTTTATAAGAACATGGGCTTTGTTATGTGTTGTGTGCTTTCATTTGTAAGCTTTTGGTGTAACTTTAGGTCTCTTAAGATGAGCAATTTTTCTTGGGTACGTATGTACATGCAAACACAAAACGTCAGACATTTTTAAACCGTTTGATCAAATTCAACTGTCACCAATCACCAATTTTAAACAACCAACAATCAATTGTGCGCGATGAGGGAGACATTAAACTTGATGATTTTGGTCATGATTTGTTTTCTCCCTCTTCAGTAAATATTAAAACACTTAAAAAAGAGTCATTCACAATGCTCAAAAGGAACATCGTTCCATATCATAAAAGATACAAACCTACAAAATATCCTCATCAAACTCAGAATGCTCCTTATCTTTCTTCTTGAAAGCAAAGCTTAATTCAAAACGACAAGCACGCTAACCCCCGTCTGATCGATTCTCGGGAATCATTTGCTCATTATCAGCATCGCCTTCTGTCTCAACTTGAGGCTTTGAAGGAGCTTCGGAACCAGGAGGCTGTTTCTTCTTAATCCCGCCCGCTCACAATGTCATCGATTCTGGCAACTAGGCAAGCGGATTCAATGGCTGTTTTAAAGGTCAATGAACTTGAATATTTCCATGCATTTTCACCATTCACATGCTATGGAAAGAAATAGTAATTAAGATTAAATAAAATGCATCAGAACAGATAGATAACTGATGGTAATAGCAAACAGAACAGAGCCATGCAGTAAAGATTCAAACCTTTCCTTGCAGCGCAGTCATAGTTCTAACCACATTAACACCACAATTCTGAGCCAAAGTTCGTGGTGTAACCTCAAAAGCTATACCATCAGCTTCATACGGCCACTGTTTTCCCATCAAAACACAAATGTAAAGCCACAGCTAAATATAAATCTCCAATAAGTCAAGAGTGAAGCAACAGACGGTTCTTAGTCTAAGCGTTCATCTTTCTATTTTCATGAGGAGTTCAAGTTTTACACAACAAATACAAAACTTTTAGATGAGGAAAAGTGTGTTTACCTAGATGAAGTCAAGGTTATAACTACAACTGCTAAACGAAAATTAAGCTCTGCCTATTCCCCAGTTTTTCCTAAGAAAAATCTGAGGCCGCACCATGAAACCCATGAACCTGATTGAGCACAAGGAATAGTGCCCTGAGTTCCATTCTTGTGCATGCCATCAAATTCTCACAAAAGTTAGATTAAATGAGAGCTTGAGAAGCAATACAAAAATAATAGGTATATAATTTGATGAATTGTAGAAAGAAACCAAAGGAACTTACGATGCTTCACATCAATGTCCATTGCTATGTTGTCAAGATCAGCAATAGCTGTTGGATACCACATTTGGGATTTGGTCCTAACAAAACACAATTTCATATATATTATTAATATGTATTTTGGCAATACAAAAACCAAAAAAAAAGAAAAGAAAGTTGAAGAATTTAAAACGATTAGCTTGTCATTTTAGCCAAAATGTTTTAGAATTTTGAGCATGTAAAGATGCCCACTTCTTAATGCACCTTAGTACCTTATGCAGAAAAACTTTGAAATCGAAATAGTTAAAAGATAGACTTAGGAGAGTGTATTCAATTGAGATTTTGAGGGATTTTAATTATTTTAATGAATCTAGGGGTATTCAATCAGGATTTTAAGTGATTCTCTAAAATTCAAAGTGTATTCAATTAGAATTTTAAGATAGTTTATTAAAATCTTTAGAAATCCAAGTATATTAAATTAGAATTTGATTTTAAAGAATTTGATAAAGTTGAGGAATTAGAGGGAATTGAAGAGATTTCGTAGTATATTTTAAGTATCCACAAATCTCATCTCTTCCCATAAGATTTCGAGGGAATTGAATCAAAATTTTATGTGGAATCTCTGCAAATCAATTAAACTCTATAAAAATCTATGAATTTATAAATCCATTAAAATTTCTCAAATTCTCAATTGAATACACCCATTTTAAAGTCATGCTAAATGACCTGCATTTCTTACAATTCTAATCTAGATGACAAGGAACGAATCGCTAAGGGAACCCTGATTTCACTTCAGGAACAATAGAGCAACAATTAAAAGCAACCACAGTGCTTGAATTTCCGAACATAAACAAGCAATCGTCGATCATTACACAGAAAAACTACAACGCAAAAGTTTGGTCCTTTCAATTCACACCCCCTGCTTACGATAAATCAGATTGCCTATTGACCAAAACATCTGAAACAGAACAACTTATAATGCACTCACAAAAAACACGAAACAAGTAATTGAGCCGATAAGCAATTTCCAAGTCCAACGCCACAAATAATGCAATTCAGCAACTATCCATCACGAAACGAAAACTCGAAAGAAGAAGAGGGAATACCTTCGGAGGTCCACGTCGCGCATATGTGGCATTTAGGTCAGCAAACATGTGGAGCCTACCTTTGCAATGTCATCACCAATTTAACGGATTTGACAAACACATGTATGATAATATTGCAACTAAACATAATTTTATGTATGAGATTGAAATATTTTAAAAATATTGCATGAGGTTGTAATTGCAATCAAACTTGAGGGTGCAAACTGTAATTTATCAATTTTAAAAAATTAAGAAATTAGAGAGAATTGAATCAAAAGTACATAAAATTTCTACAAAACAATTAAACTCGATAAAAATCTATAAATTTATTAAAAATTCTAAAAATTCCAATTGAATACACCTCCATGAAAATATTTTTCCATTTGGTGGCTTCAGGGTGGATGAGCTCATAATTTTCAGTGAGGATTACATTAATACATTTTTTTTTCTCTAGTTTTTTGGTGCTTTTCACGAAGGATGAGGATTCCATCCGGATCCAAATGGTGGGGACCTCCATGAAAATATTTTTCCATTTGGTGGCTTCAGGGTGGATGAGCTCATAATTTTCAATGAGGATTACATTAATACATTTTTTCTCTCTAGTTTTTTGGTGCTTTTCACGAAGGATGAGGATTCCATCCGGATCCAAATGGTGGGGATTCTAGAGATCCTCACATCCTAACTGTTCATCGTATATCGTGCTATCAATTTTCGTCAGGTACTATTTGTGTTTAGTTTTAAATAAAAAAATGCAAATAATTTTTGACCGCACAATGTACGATGAACGGCTAAAATGTGAAAATCCTCACCATTTGGATCCGGATGGATCCAAATCCTTTCACGAACCACTAACGGGGGTGTATTCAATTGAGAATTTAAGGGATTTTAATGGATTTATAAATCCATAAATTTTTATAGAGTTTTTGTAGAGATTCCATATAAAATTTTGATTCAATTCTCTCGAAATCTCATGGGGAGATGTGAGATTTGTGGATGCTTAAAATACACTACGAAATCTCTCCAATTCCCTATAATTCCTCAACTTTCTCAAATTTTTTAAAATCAATTTATAATTGAATACACTTGTAATGTTATAAACTTATTTAAAATTCTAATCGAATACACCCAGATTTCTAAGGATTTTAATAAACTATCTTAAAATTCTAATTGAATACACCTTGAATTTCAGATAATCACTTAAAATTCTAATTGAATATAGCTGGATTCATTAAAAGAATTAAAATATCTCAAATCTCAATTGAATACACCCCCTAAAATAGTATTGCTCTCTTCCTCTCTCTCTCTCTCTCTCTCTCTCTCTCTCTCTCTCTCTCTCTCTCTCTCTCTCTCTCGTAGTCTCACGGTTTTCTTCATATTCGTTGAAACCCTAGCCACAATTTGCTTCTCCTTGATTTTCCTTAAAATTCTGATTGAATATCCCTGGATCCATTAAAATAATTAAAATCTCTCAAAATCCTAATTGAATACATCCCCTAAAATAGTATTGGATGCACACACTCTCTCTCTCTCGTAGTCTCACGGTTTTCTTCATATTCGTTGAAACCCTAGCCACAATTTGCTTCTCCTTGATTTTCCCTTTAAAAAAAAGCCAGATCTCATCATCATCATAGAGAGACCGCCTTCACAGATCGACACTTGGGTTTACAGACAACCAAATGTCAAAGAGAAAAGCGGCAGCGGCAGGGCCAATAAAAGAGAGTTCGCAGACAACCAAAGTAAAAGAAACAGACGTTTCCCTTTCGGCATGGATAAGGAAACAGGAATCCTTTGTGGCAAATTATACTATTATCTTGCCGTTGGGCGGTCCTGCTCCGGATCGGGAGAGCTTGTTCACTCCTGTTTTGGAAATGTTGGAGTTGGTCAGGTCCCCAAGTGGAGAGATTCGGACCTTGCCTTTCTTGGTAGCGTGCAGGCATACTGCACCAATTACACGTACATTCATTATTCATTGTTTTTATTCATTTGAAAGATTGATCGCACCAATTTTTAGTGTGTGTGTGTGTATAACTTTCATTTGAAGTGTTGAACCTCGTTGCTTGCTGCTTGCACATGGTTTTTTGAGCTTAATGCATGCTACATACCCATGTGATTTTTTATATGTATAACATCGATCAACTTCCTGACTTTGGTTCTCGCCTTGATCCAGTTCAATTTGGAGAACCTTTGAATCATGTTAGGACATCCATCTTTGCTTGTGCAGTGGTGAGATGCTATTTTCATTTATTTTCTCCTTTTATTTTCGCTGCATGTTTTTACTACCTTATGCTTGCTGTTGTCATTATGGAGAAAATCGACTCGTCTTTGTCTTTGTCTTGTGGGTATAATCTATATACATATGATATATATTTTGCTTCTTGAGTTTGAATGCATGTTATTATACTCACTCTCTGCACTTTTCATGTGTGTAGCCAATGGAAAGAATATATCAATCCAATCCTTCCAAGTTCGAATACTTGTACAGTTTGGTGAACCATGATGTCAAAACAAATACTCTTTTCAATAGTACCTCCGTTTCTCTTGTTTGGCTCACCAGGTACACGATAGAATCATAAACTCAGATTATTTTCTTTTGGCTTTAGAATCACCTTTGCACTTTGTCAAAATGCGATACATCTCATTTTTCATACTACTCTTGATTTATTTCCAGATACATGGATTTTTTGGTAGAGCTGTTTCGGAACTTACGTGAGCATCCTCCAGATTGGGTTACGATTCGAGCTGTTTATAATGCCTATGCCAAGACCCTGATAAAATGGCATGATGAAAAAATTGTACTGACTTTGATTCCCCTTCATTTATTTGGTGACCTAGGATTATTCGTACTAATCTTTCCCTTTGAATGTCCTATTTCTATGCTTCACTAGTGACAATTATATTCTGCAAGTTGCCGGCTTTGCCTAGTTGCTTTTTAATTACTTGGCCTGGCAACACTTTAGTGTATTTCCATGTTCTCCATATACTCAAACTAGTTTTCTTTCTTTTTAGTATATAGTACAGAACTCATATGAAAGCATGAAGCTATTACACTTATTAAACACGAAAGCATTTCTGTGTTTTCCCATGTTCGAGAAATGCCTTTCTTCTTAGTATAGTCTTACTGCTTCAATAGAGGAAATTTCGGAAAACTCCCAGCAACTTATCATTGGCTGTACTCTATGATTTATTGTTTTACTACTCTCTTAAGTTAAATTTTATTGGTTAGAAAATTTAACTTAATTGTTCACTGGAATGATAGCTTGGAAACAAATATGCTCGCGAAAAAGACTTGTTGTTGAAGGTGATCGGAGGCAATGGTGATGTCATGGGAGACATGGAGAAATTTTGCACTTCCTTTACTCCTCTACTTAAACAGAATCACGAGTTTTTGGTAAGTTATTTTTTTCAATTGCATAGTTTACTAGTCTCCTTACTCTTAATAATCCTTTCTCAGCTGGTAGGAGCCAATAAATCCTCCCTTCCGTTGTTCTCCGAAGAAAGGGGAAGTTTAAAATAGAAAAAGGAGGCAATGAATTATTAAATCATTTGTTACTGTAAAATGTTAAAATCTTTGCTCATGAACTTTACACTTTTGAGACAGGCTGGAGTGGATGATTTGAAGTTATTTCGTGCTAGCCTTGTAGCAAAGGTACCAAGTACGTACCCAAAAAAAAGAAAGATGGGGAAGACTATGTTTGCTCCTGCTTTGGAAGAATTGGAGAGTGTCAAGTCTGAATCAAAAGAGATTCTGACGAAGCATTTCTTGGAATCGTGCATTAAGATTTTGCCTGTTCTAGGTTTGTTCATTTCCCTTATTTATTTCATCCCGTGAATAGTGGATTTAGTTTGTTTGACTCCAAGCTTTGAACCATTTTTAAGTTTTCAAGAAGGCACACACCTGACACTTGGCGTTTATAACGATTGTTAAGCAAGCATAAAGCTACATGACCATTTGTTATTTATTTGTACAATATGAGCTTTATGATTTGGTTCTGGGCTTGATGCAGCTGAATTTGGAACTGCTGTGTATCCTGTTACTTTTGACATCCGTACTTGTGTAGTGGTAAGATGTTATTTTCATGTATTTTCCCCTTTTCCTTTCATTTTCTGCTTTGAGTCTCATACTTTCTACTTTTGTAATTTTGCCTTAATTAGAACGCTTTGCATTGTCCAGCTTGGACATGGCAATGCTAATCTAAACTCTTGGCATCCGTATGCTCAGAACATCTTATGGTTATTATGCATGTGAAGTCAGTTCGTATGTTTTGTTTATTAAGTTTGAATGCATGCTAGTGTTCTCACTCTATCCAATTTTGGCTTTGCATAGAGATTGCAGTATGGATATTCATCAGATCCTTCCAAGTTCAACTACTCGTTCAGTTTGGTGCAATTTGAGACCTTGCCTTCCAAGTTCAATTACAGTTCGTATCCATTCGAGACCTTTTCTCTTGCTTTGCTGACAAGGTACTCGATATAATCATAACCTCGTATGTTTTTTTGTTTTTTTTTTGTTTTATGCCTTTGCACATGGTTGAAATGTGATATATGCATGATACTATTTCTTGATGTATTATCAGAAACATGGATTTTGTGGTAGAACTGTTTCGTAACTTGCTGGAGCATCCGGAGTGGTTTACGATTGAGGCTTGTAAAGATTCCTACGGCAAGACCCTGAAAATATGGCTTGAACGAAAGAAATGGTTTAATCCAAATCTTCCATTGAAAAGAGTAATGTCTTTGATGCCCTTAAATTATTTGGTGCTCGATCATTGTTCGTACTTAACTGGTCGTTTGAATGTCTATGCTGGACTTAAATTTCTATGCCCGACTTAAATAGAATTATGACAATTATATTCTGCAAGTTGCCTCTTATGCCTAGTTGCATATATTTCTTTAACTACTGGGGCTGCCCTCATTTTTAATGTTTTTTCATGTTCTCCATGCATTGAAAGCACCACTTCTTCTATGCAAGTTTCTCTCTTGTTCAAGAATTTAAGCATTGTAGAAAGTACAGAACTCATCTGATCAATCTTGAAGCTATTACACTTATTAAATCTGAAAGCATTTGTGTTTTTCCCATGTTAAGAGAAAAGTCCCCCTTAATATATCGTTACCGTATTGAATGATAGAGGAAAATTGTCAAAACTTGCAGCAAAAGTCTGCTTAACTTATCCACTGGTTTTATCATTGGTTGTTCTTTATGATTTAATTGTTATACTTGATTGTTTTAGTTTTCTCACATTTTTCCTCGCTGAAAGAAATGGCAAATGAGAACTCTTTATGGTGATCAAATCTAACTATTAATCACTATAATGACAGGTCATACCGGAGCTTTCTACGGACAGAGAGAAGTTCATGGAGAAGATCGAAGGCAATGGTGATGTGATGGGTGATATCAAGAAATTTTGCTCTATCTTTACACCTCTAATTAAAGAGATTGACAAGTTTTTGGTACGAAATTTTCTTACGTTGCAGAATTTAGTGAGGTTGTTATTGATTAGCTTAAAACATCCTTGTGAGTTTTGTTAAAAGCTGTAATGCTCGAGTTTGAGGTTTCTCCCCGACTGTCGTTCTTGACCTACTCCATTGTAATGCAAAGTAACACGCGGATGTTCATTGTTTTGACACAGGCTAGTTTGGGCTCGGATAGAATTAAGCTGCTTATTGATGGGGAGCGGGCTTCTTGATTCAGTTGCATTGCCTGCCATTTGCCTCCCTCAACTTGTTTGCGATTTTTATTTATGTATTAAGTGTTGCTGTTCGGAATCCAAATTTTCACTCCTTTGAACTCACATTATATATGTAGCTACATATATGATGGTCTTTGATCACGTTAGAGAATAACAGTTAACCTAAATTGTGTGGAAAATTTTCAGGGGAGAAAGCTAAATTATGGTTGTTAGTGAATTAAAGAGAGGAATGGTTTGTTTTATTGTCATAACGTGGGTACGGATAAAATATATATATCCGTCAAGGCGAGAGAGTAATGCGATGTTAGTATAATGAGACATCGAAGCCGAAATAAGCCGGTAAATCCATCGAAGCCCGCTCAAAGCCTTATCGAAAGCACTGATAATCGACAAATTGAAAGCCTCACGCGCCCATCCCGGCGACCTCCTTCCTACACTCGCGGCTCATGCGGCCGGCGCTTTCCTCCCACCGACGCGACCCCTTTACTCCCTAACAACACCCACCCTCTCTTTCTCTATTCCCACCCACTCCCCATTTTTTCAACGCACCGTTCCCGATGGGCGACCTAACGGACCTCCAAACGACGCCGTCCAATGCCACCACCTCCAACCCTCGCCCCATGCCCGTCCGCGAAGACTGCTGGAGCGAGGACGCCACCTCCACTCTCGTCGACGCCTGGGGCCGCCGCTACCTCGAGCTCAACCGCGGGAACCTCCGCCAGAAGGACTGGCAGGAGGTCGCTGACGCCGTCAACGCCCTCCACGGCCACACCAAGAAGACCCACCGGACGGACGTTCAGTGCAAGAACCGAATCGATACAATTAAGAAGAAGTACAAGGTGGAGAAGGCTAGGGTTTCGTCCTCCAACGGAACCCTAACCTCGTCGTGGCCTTTCTTCGAGAGGCTCGACTCCCTCATTGGATCTAATGTCAAGAAGCCGTCTCCTTCGCCTCTCTCGCCTTCGCCGCCGGTCGCCGTTCCGTTGCCTTTGGGGTACCGGAAGACGCCGTCCTCGGCTCCGGTGGTGACGGCTGTGGCGCTTCCGCAGAAGCGGTCGGCTTCGACTGCGGCGCTCGACGAGGGTTTCTTTAGGATGAATTACTCGGCTGTGGCTGCGGCTGCAGCCGCGGGGGCTGAGGACGAGGACGACGAGGACGACGATGAGGACGATGAGGATAACGATGAGGTCGATGAGGTCGATGAGGAGGTTGAGGTGGAGAGGGAGAGGGAGAGGGAGAGCGGAGGCGAGATTGGAGGCGGGGGAGGAGAAGGGTTGAAGAGATTGGCGAGAGCGATTGAGAGGTTCGGAGAGGTGTATCAGAGAGTCGAGGCCGAGAAGTTGAGGCAGATGGTGGAGTTGGAGAAGCAGAGGATCCAATTCGCCAATGAATTGGAGGTAGAGAGGATGAGGATGATCATGGACACGCAGGTCCAGCTCGAACGAATTAAGCACGGCAAGCGATCGGGCTCTAATGGTGAGACAAATCTCTCATCTTTCTTGTGTTTGTATTATCTTTTGAGTTAAATTGAGTGAATTGCTGTGCTTTGTTTGATGGTTTAATGTATGAATGGCTGTAGTGGCTTGAAAGGTTCTTCCTTGAGTTTGAAGCATCTGTTAATTTTAAAGATCCAAACTTTACCCTGATTGGGAAATTTAAATTAGGGGTTTTACTTGGAACTTTGAATTGGCTTTGGCAATGTAGTAAAAGCAGTGATTGGCGACTGATTGTTTTGTTGCGTATGTTACCGCAAACTATATGCTTGTTCTGCCCCTCTGTATTGGTTATAGCATGGATGTTGTTGCTGTTGTTTGATTCTGAGAATTTTACACTTCGCCTATCTGGCCAGGTATTCTTAATGCGATTAGGAGGGATACTTTTTGTTAAATGGCTTTGATAGGCTTCATGTATGGGAGGCGAGGACGATGTTTCAGAGATGTTGAGAACTCTGAATTGTTTGGTGGAATTTCAAAACTTTGTTCCGAGCTTAACTGAACTTGAACTAAGTTGTTTTGATATCAGTTTTGATTTTGTTTAAAATGAAAATCGATGATAGCAAACATATTATCAAATGGAGGCCAAGATGGATTGGCTAGGGATGGGGAGTTGGTTGAGCTTGTTCATAGTTGTCCGGTCGAGTGTGTTGGTCTTTAATGTCTCTGTTGTTTACTTTTGTGAGTCAGCAAAATCCTGTTCTTGCATCTCTTGTCCTTTGGTATGATTCTCTCTTTGAAGTGTTCTCGTGTTCATCACCAACATGCTTGATAACTGATATTGCATGCTTCTCTTACATCCTCATAAAGTTACAATATAATATCTCATGATGCCAACAAACACTTGTTTTCACCCTGATACGTTATCAACATTTGTTCATGAATGTGAAAGTTTGTAAAGCTGAGCCATGAGAGTTTTATATAGTGTTCTTTCAATTTGTTTCATCCCTCGCACCCCCTCCTCCCTCTATGTGTGAGTGCGCTTTTGCCATCTTATTTCTGTGGTTGTAACCTCGGGGGGATGTTTTCTATAACATCTGAGTGACTTCATTGTGAAACTTGACATCTAATTAAATGACACTGAAAGATGGATCTCCCCGAGTCCTAGTATCATGCGGGAATCTTTCTGTTTGTTATGTTGCCACCACTGCACAGTTTGTTTAGAGTGGGTCTATGAGATTCATATGGAAATTACATAATATGTCGGTTAGCTCCTCTGCTTTTTGTCCAATAGAGGCAATAGTTCAAGTGAGATGTATACTCTTGAATTCTTATACAATCATGTGAAATCTCACTTCATAGGATCTTAAAATTTGTCATCACGTAAGTAATTTGAAGGTATCGACTTGGCATATCCATTTATTTGGATGATTTTGCCTTTGTTTTTTATTTGTTGCTGGAAAATCATAGAACTTATAAGACATAGGCTTTAAAAGTAAATTTGATGCCGCTTCGGGTTTTGGTATTGATCTGAGTTTGGCTCAGCTTGTGTTGAATTCCAGCATGCATTTACTTGGTCTCTTGATTTCTAATAGCAGCTTTCTGGTACTCTCTTTTACAGATATCTTTAGCTAGCTAGCCTAGTGCCGGAGAAGCTTTAACGGTAAACTTACATGGGGGAAGCGTTATGTAGCATCTCCTTGATTATCCTAGGAAGTATATATTGTTGCAGCTGATGATACCGGACCTGAGAAAAACTACTGGCACCAACAGTCCCGAGTTTTCTTTTCGGCTTTTTTATCTTGATTTTTTTCTTTTCGAAATTACTATTATTTTCAACTATTATTTTCGGAACAATATAATTGTCTTGTTAGTTGTACTCGGCCTTAGATTTGGTCCAGTGAATTTGCTTAATATTTGTTAGCTTTTATTAGTTTGAACTCCACAATTCTAGTTGGCTTGCAATATATAAAATTAGTAGTTAACTTCTCTATGAATGTGTTTTCTTTTGTTTCTCTGGCTTACTATCCCTTGTTTGTCTACTCTGTTTTTTGTTCTTGGGCTTCTTTATAAATTCCTTCTGGACCCAAAAATTCACTCACAATAATACTTGCAATGTAAATCAAAAGGCCCATGTTTATTCATTTGAGTTTTGACTGTATGGTGGTTGATGGATCTCATGAATTGATGTTTAATTTCTCGAGAGAGTTGCTATTGTCGCTGAAAAAAAAGTTATCGTGCATTACCATGGTGATATAGTTGTTTCGATTCTATATGTAAACTAAACAATCACATACTAAAGTAGAGTCGAATAACAAAGGGTTTTTATCGCAAATGATTTTTGATATTTGACCTATCTCATCATTTTGGTCTCTGAATTTTAAAATCGGTCAATTTGATCCCAAACTTTCACTTCTGCAAATCAATTTAGTCCTCCAGAATGAGGAGTTACGTCACTGTCCATCAAGAACCATTTGGGATATAAAAAAATCAATAACAAATTTGAATAATAAATGACTACCCAAAGGATGAGTAGGAGTTCCAACTCAAAATTCTTTGTTCCTGATTCACAAACCTTCATGTAGATGATCAGAACCGTTTATATTATAAATTACTCTATAAAGATCATGTCTGCAAAAAATCAATTAAAACTAAAGTCGTTTAGTCATCGAATTATATGAGCATAGATGAACAGAAATGATAAAATTATTACGAACTGTCTATTTATTTGAGCACAGATGAACTGAAATGATAAAAGTATTACGAACCGTCTATTTGAGCATTACGAACTGTCTATTTATTTAAAGAATTATATGAGCACAGATGAACGGAAATGATAAAAGAATTACGAACTGTCTATTTACTTGCTACAATTGGTCGACTTAATGACCTTAGTTTCAATTCATTTTTTGCAGAGATGATGTGATTTATATTGTGAATGGTTCCGATTATAAACACAAAATTCTTTAAATCAAACATAAAAAATTTTGAGTATGAGCTTCTACTCATCTTTAAGTAGCCAAACATTACTCAACAAATTTTTACTGCCATATTTTTTCCTTCCGCAATTTTGGGTTTAAGTCAGAAAATCATTCCAGGCACGTACGTAGATCTAGCACCATCATGAAAAGGACAAGCTTAAAAGTCTATAAAATTCCAAATTCACATTGAAGTTTTGCATCCAATCAGCAAAAGATATATGTACCATTAACTATTCGTTCCCATTATTCCATGGCTCTCAAAACCTACCTCTTCTCAGCCTTTCTTTTAACATCGGCCATGCCATTTGCTCCACCCAAACATTTTCCCGCCAACTTGAAGACCAACCATGCTGAAGAGACACCAGAACTGGGTGGCTCGATTCCGACACGTTTATAAGGATGCAGAAAAGTAGGAAGGGCGATACGTGATATTCAAAGATACATGTGGAGTTCAGTGAGGATTTTACAGACTCTTGAATCAAAACTACACACTAAGCATACAAGAATTTGCATACGTACGTGTGGGAGGATAAAATCCGGCTTCGACTCATGGGCCAATACCAATCATCTGAGGAGAAAGAGGTGTGCAAGACAAAAGCCCACAAGAAGTATAAGCAAGGGAACGTGCCTAGATAATTCCCCACTACGGAGGAGAAGTGGGAGAGGGAGACGGGTCGTGGTAGTTGTTCCTAGGGCATGCAGTTACATGACGGATGACCATTAAGGAAG